ACATGAAGAGGTGCACTCTAGCAAGTTCTCAGGGGATGCTAATGCGGCCAGCCGAGGAACCCCACACTGAGAACCGTGGTATTGTACTATACCTTCTGTTTTCAGCTGGAGTCTGACTGGGCTGGCACAACAAGACAAAATGGAGCAGAAGGAGTCTCTACTTCTGCCTGCTCACACTTTCAAACAACAGACAGAAAGAGAGAGAGAGAGAGAGAGAGAGAGGGAGGGAGAGAAACAACAGAAAAAGCACTGAACCATCACCTCAATTCAAACTGGACGGAGTTTGGGAAAAATTAATGTTGGTTTTTCTCATTTACTTTGAACCTATGTCCATATAATTATTCTAGAGTGTCTAGCTTCTCCACTGCTTTGGGACTGTGCCATCAAGCAATATTGAAAAACAGGAGTCCTAACTGTTCTCGAATACAAGAGCTGGAGTTAGGCTGTGATTTACACAGATTAACAGCACCACTTCCCTGAGACATGGGTTGGGTTCAAAATGTGCAGTCAGAAATCTCCCTTCATTCTTCAAATATGCCCAGTTCCAGAAGATGGGTGTGAAGTATTCTAGATCTCATTGGACCGAAAGGCATCAGATGATGGAGAAAAAAAATTTCCAGCTGGAGATTGGATGGTCACCAGAAGGACACCAGGAGTTTTGGCATAATTTTAGTTCATTTAAAAATCATTCAGCAGACAATTACTGTCAGCCAACCATTGGACAATACATTCTGGGATATGCCAAAATAAATTCCACAGAATTATCCTTGACCTTGAAGATCTCACATTAATTTTGAAAGGTAGACATGTAAACAAATAATTATAATGCAGCATTAATACTTACGTTGTAAAAAATGATAAGGATGCTTCGGAAACCTAGATGGATGAGCTGCTCATTTCTGACTGTGGCGTGGAAGAGGTGAAGCAAACTTCCCCATGGGAAGGCAGTCCAACTGACTCTTGAGCAGTGAGCACCTGTGTGTTAGGCAACAAGGGCGAAAGGCACAACAGGAGAGAAAATAGCACCAGGAAGGTGCAGGAAAATAATCATCAATAAAGAGTAATTTGAGGGGACTAAAGTCTAGGCAGTGTAGGAGGGGGCTGGTGATTAGAGGAGAAGATATGTTTGTTTGACATGCCCTCTATATTGTGATGAAAAGTTGACACTCCATCGTGGGGACTCTCATGTCTTTAAGCATAGAGACATATCACAGGGCTGAATTGCAAACAAATGTGGTGGAATGGTGGGTCAGACAGTCGAGAGGGGTTTGTGCGTTCGTAGACCAGGCAGTGAGTGGAGCAGGCTATGAGTTCAGGTAGAGATGATGAAAATCTGGTCTAGATCTTAGGGGTTCAGAATACGTGCCTGAGGGGCCCATTGTTAACGTGTTGATGCAAGTTACTGTGTGCGCATGTTTTAAGTTTGGGATATACAAAACGTCAAGTAACTTTATAAATATAGACACGTATAAAAGTTATAAATACATATTTATTTTATAAATTTATTTATAAACTGATATATGTGAGTTTATTATATGGAGAGAAGAAAGAAAGGGAGAAAGGGAGAGAAGGAGGGAGGAAAGAAGGAAAATATTGTGTGAAAAAAACAGAAAAGAGAAAGTCAAGTGTGTCTTTGGGGAAGGAAACTTCCAGGGACTTCTAGTAAGATGCAGCCGCTCCCTGGCTGCTGGAGAGGGTTCCTGATTTACAACACAGGCCAGGGCATGTGTGTGTTTGTGTGGAGAAGGGTTTATGAAAAACAATGATGGAAAAAAAGGATAAATTCAGTATAATTTCTAAGACAGTGAATACCACAAATGAGTCATAAACTGAAATTACACTTTGTCTTCCAATAGTTTCCACATAATCAGCCTATTCATACACACAAAAAGAGCACACGGCGTATTCCCAAGTGGCACAGGACTGGCTCTGAGCTCTGAAGATGGATGCTGAGGCTTACATCCCATGCCGTCCCTGGACCACAGATGAAGGTGCTGCCCTGGGCACTCAGCCCGAGACAAGACGGGGCACCGGGGCACTGGCACATCCTTTCATAGCATTTCTCATATCGTTTCTCCCTGTACATTATCCACCGTTCAGGCCTTTGCTGAGACAGAGAATGCCACTCCCGTATGAAGTGAATACCCAGTGCCCTGCACGCAGGAGTGGGTGAAGGCTAAGCAGGTCTATTGTTCTTGCAAAGTGCTGCTGGAGAATTGTCTCCTTGTGCAGGGTGATACTGAAGAGATAAAAATATCTTTCATGTCTATAGTGCTACGCATCTTGAAGTGCATTCTACATTTTGCAGACTATATATAGGCTCACTTCATTACCCATCCCCATAAAATAGAGCCAGAGCAGGGGCAAGCACATGCCAGATGTTTGACAATGGTTTAATAACAGAGGGAAGAATAAGTTCAGCGGGATTCAGAAAACAGGAAACGGGATGTGGGGCACTAGGTAAAATGTTACCATTCATTCAGCATTATGTATGGCGTGCCTGAGTCTACCAGGACAAGAGCTGGGGCGCGGTTGGGAACTGGAGAGGCGTGTAGACGGGTGCATCAGACAGACCTGACGGTCCAGTGTGGTTCGTGCTAAGATTGAGTTACAATACAAGGTGCTGTGGTCCTTCTTGCTCTAAAGCGGTCTTTACAATGAGCCGCCCTGGCACCGGCATTCCCACACTTTAATAAAAGGTTTGTGTCCAGGACAGTTATGAATGTACAGGGAAGAAAAGCTGTCCTGGGAATCTGGAATCCAAGCTCAGTGAGGGGCATGGTTCTGGGGGAACTTAGGAGCCAAGAGAGAGTACGAGGTGACCAAGTTGGGGCAAAACCGAGGGCACTCAGCGTAGGATGAACAGGAACCAGTTTAGGAAGAAGTTGTAACCAGTGAGAGCAGAGGGGCACACGCAGATTCCAGAACCCTAAGGCTGGACCCCAATGGCCCCTGACACTGGGGCCTCCGGGAAAGTGCTTCCAAATCCATCCAGGCTGAGCCACGTGCCCTCCAGAGAGGAGACAGTAGGGTTTTTCAGATTGGGAGGGATCCCAGAGATCCACTGTCTTCAGCCAGTCACTTCTACAGATGATGAGAGATATGCCTAGCTTCGTTAAGTGTCTACCAAAGTGGCAGTGCCAGGCCGGAGCCAGCCCAGGTGAGAAGGCTTGCCATGACCCTCAGTCAGCCTGGCCTGGGGTGGTCCAGTGCTGCAGGCCCGCCCTGCCCTCTGGGGAGATGTTCTTGAAAGCTGGTTCCACATCTGACCACAGTGAACCCGGGTTAAAGTCTATAATCCACCTGCACTGATGTGAGCAAGAGTGTGGTTCAGATAAATGAAAAAGAAATAGGCTGGGGGACTGTGGCTGCCCAGGTCGGGCGGGCTGCTGCTCCAGGAGGACGCCTGACTGACGACCGTCTGGTCTCGGGACGAATATGTAGATTCAAGCCCTGATTAGCTTACCCTGAACTCCCAGGAGGGGCCTGTTCAAAATGTGTTTAAATCCCTGGACAAGGATGCTTTAACCAGTACTGGTGGGATATATGAAACAAAGAAGGGAAGGAAGGAAGGAAGGAAGGAAGGAAGGAAGGAAGGAAGGAAGGAAGGAGGGAAGGAAGGAAGGGAGGGAGGGAGGGAGGGAGGGAGGGAGGGAGGGAGGGAATGCGGTTTATAATGTATCTGTGCCACAAATATTGTGAAGAGGCATTAAACAGGAAATCTCCACTCACGATGACTGCCTGTGGCTTACAGAAAGCCCCGCTCATCTTATCTGCGGTCATGCACCTTGTGAGCACGCGCCGGCCCTGGGAGGGCAGCCAGCCCCCTGAGCCCTGCGGGCGGCAGAAACACCTGGGTGGAGGCTGGGGCCTGTGCTGCCTCTCAGCACCTTCCTGCAGGGCCTCCAGCAGGTGGATTCAACCTGACAGATGACCTCCAGGGCAATTTCTGTCTTATTAAAAAGCCAAATGAGATGTTTCATAATTTTATTTTCCATGTATACACCTGTGTATACTTCCCCACAACCGGAGGACAAACTTTCCAAAAACAGGAATTTATGTATTCCTTCCACACGTCTTCATTAAGTACCCAAACAGGCCTTGACGCCAATCAAGGGAATAAGAAATGTTGCCAACGATGCATGAACAGTCAAAAGGAAGGTCACTGGAAAGTCGTGGTGCAGGGGGTCCGTATGGCCTGTCTGAACTTGGGCCTGCTCAGGGCACTGGAGAGCAGGACCCAACACTCCTGCGTCAGGACCCGGACCCCCAAGCCTCACTGTCTGCCCCAGACTTGAGAAGACTCCGGGGCAAACGTGCTGCCGGGACAGCAGGGCCCAGGAGCTGTCTGTTGGAGACTTTCGCCTCTGAAACTTCTTGGCTGGTCAGCCGCAGAATCTGGAGCCAGCCCTTCCTCGCTAGGCGACGGAGCTCCTGATCTCAGGCTTGCGGGGGCAGGGGGGCGGGGTCAAAGGACACTTGGCACTGAAGGCCTGGTGAGGGGAAGAGGGGGCTGGCGACCGATGAACTGAGTTTCTTGGCCTATACACTCCAGGAGAAAGGCTGGAGAGAATGCCACCTGCTGGTGAAGGACCCCGGCTTGCAGGATGGGCGCGACGGAGACCGGGAGCCTGGATGTACAGAGAAGAAAAATTCCGGCGGTTATCCAAGTTGCGGGTTTTCTGTTGTCTCTTTAGGGCTGCCACCTCCACGGACCTGCCCAGAGACCCGGTGTCCTGCACCGCACCGCGCTCCGGACAGGGGTGTTCCCTCCAACAGTGGGGGTCTCCCCCCACCCCGGCTTCTCCCCATTGCCCTTCCTTTCCCTGCTGTCCCTCCCCTCCTCCCCCTCCATCCCCTCTTCCCCATCCCTTCCACTCCCCAAGGGCCCCCTCCCAGGCCCGAGAGTCTCGCTGTACCCCGTCAGGTGGAGCCATCCCCTCTTCGCCGGGAACTGCGCGCAGGCACCTTGCAGCGCCAGGAGGTTAACCGAGCCCCTGGAGGAGGTGAAGCCGGGACCAGCCAGGCGGAGATGGCGGGGCCACCGTCGGGGCTGGCGCCAGGGCTCCGCCGGCTGAGGGCCCAGCAGGTACCGCTGTCGTTCTCACTGCCCCACGTGGTGGCTGCTGAAGATTGCCGTGGTTTTTCTGGTCCTTTTAGAGTCCGGCAGCTCATCACTTAATCCAAGCTTTTACCTTTCCGCCGGAGACTGGAGGCTGCGGGGAGGGGTGGAGAGGGTGGAAAAGGGCGCGGGTCCAGCTGGCTGAGGGTCGTGAGGCCAGTCTCAGGGACCAGTGGGAGAGCGAGTCAAGGTGTTTGGCACCTGTGACTCCCACCAAGCCTCTCCTGTCCAAGAGGGAGTGTGTGGGGTGTGTGCTCGCTGTCCGTGGACCTGATTTTTCGTGTATTGCACAGTTCACTGGCCTCCTGACTCTTGCTTGTAATATTTCCCTTGGGACGGAATTAAGCAAATCTGGACCCCAGGCTACTTAGAAATTAGCAACCCAAATTAAACAACAGCTTAAAGGATAAATGTCAGAACATCAAATGTTGCTTTGTAAGGTACAATATGCATTCTATATTAGAATTCTTATTCTCCGTGAGGCTTGGCCTTGGAACTCGCACCCCCATAGAGTGAATGGCAGCGACTACTCATGTTGGAGCACTATATGTGCCATGTTTTTACTCTTAAGATGTTATTTGGCATATGTTGTTTAGAATTATTATCCACCATTGCACGTGTTTCTGCTTTGCCTCTTCTGTTTTATTGCATTGTTGACTGTACCAAGTCCATGAAAGGCTCTGTGGACAATGCTTCTGAAAGCTGGTTGCCAATTTAGCTGGTGAGGTGCCTCTTTTCTATCCTCTTAGTTTCTGTGACCCTGTGTTTCTCCCCCCGCCTCACCAAAAAAAAGTTCGCTTGCAATTTTCCATTTGATGTGTTTAACAGCCTCTGAGGGTTGCAGCTAAATAAACTATTACATTAACAATGGCAGAGTCGACACAGCAGACATGTACTGATGTGCAGGTCTTCGATGTGAACCACCAGATGTCAGCTCTGACCAGCATGCCCTTCTCCAGGTGCTCCCACTTCTCTCTTTCTTGTTCCCAAACACCAAGGGATACATCCACATGGAATGTGGCGTTGGAATGTGCCCTGCAGTCGGCTAAGTCACCAAAGTATGTAATACTGATGGGAGAAAGGCTAAGGTTTCCCAAAGGACCTCTCTCCAAGTCCCAGTGACTGAAGAAAGAAATGATTGATTTTTATAATCGAATGACACAAATCGAGAGAGCATCTTTCATTTTTCCTCCTTTTACTCATTACCTCCCTTTCTGTATAATGCTGCACATTTTAGACACTGTTTTGTAACTATCCTTATAGTTTGCATGGTACGTGTATACCCTACTTTCACACTGAATTATGAGCTCCTGAAGGCACAGTCTATACCTATGATTTTATTTCCCCCAATCCCCTGCTTATACCAGGCATATCTAAATGTCTATCAAATAAATAGACCTAGGTAAATTCACTTTGCTATCCTGGAAGAAATAGAGTTTGATTTGCATGCGGGTTTCATATAGGTAAAAGACCCGAAGGTTCTTAGGAGGCAGTTGCCTATGACCTTGGCCTCTCCTTCCACATAGGATTCAAAGCACCTCTTGGAGAAAAGACACAGTGCACTCGGAGTGATGGAGTGCTTGCTGGAGGAGAGGCTGCAAACGCAAAGACAGGCTGCTCTCCTTTCCTTGCTGGGAGATACACAAATCAGGGCAATAATAAACAGGCATGTGTCACAGACCGGCCTGGTTTCCCTCCAGTTCCTTCATTTTGTTTTTCTAGGAGTAGCACAAAGCATACTAAGGTCCACCGTTTAGGTTTCATTGCCTACCTACCCCTCCTGGAAAGTCTCAAAAATGCAAAGCATGCTTGCCTCTTCCCCAACTCTGAGACTCCCACTGCATACATTGGCCAGGTCCTTTTTGGGGAAAGACGCCCCTGTTCGTTTTCCTCTTTCAGCCCCATTTCCAGTCCTCTGAGCGAGGGGTGGAGGGCATGCATGTTTCACTGCGTGAGCATGCATATAGTCCGTCTTAACTTCACTCCCATTAAACAACATTGTACGTGTGGACAAAAAAGTCACAGCTCCACTCGCTGTTGAAGATGCCTTTTGGTCACTAATGGTGACAAAAGCTAAATTTCCCCCTATTGGGGGGAGGGGAGAAAGAACAGAGCCCCCACCCCATCCCCCATCCCCCCCCTTTGCATAGATCTCCTTTTCCGAGTGTTTCCTCTTTAATTATGATCGGTTTCCCCTCCCTCTACCCTCCCCAGCTCCAGTGAAAGGAGCCCTTCTGTCACTGGTCCCTCGCTCGCTCGCTGGCTGGCGGTGGGAGGAGCCCGGAGGAAGCTGTGCGCCCGGGAGGCCAGGAGCGGAGATGGATCTGCTCCGAGAGGGGACGCTGCTGAAGACCCGGGCTTCCCGAGGCGGCTAGAGAACAGCCACTTGTGCCGACTGGCTGCGGAGACCGGAGGCGCAGGAGCCGGAGGCCCCGGAGACGGCGGGACAGACAGCTGGTGGGCGACCGGGCTAGGACCGCGGCGCAGGCTGAGCCCCGCGAGCCGAGCAGGGGAAACTCACTGCGAGCCCAAGTTGCCCGCCGGCTCGCCCTCGCCGCGCCGAGGAATGAAACCTTCCCAGCTCCACCTGCTCCTCGTCTGCTTCTTCCTCTTCAGTCAAGGTAGGACCCAGGCCGCCGGAGTTGCCGGGAAAGTGGGCGCTGCCGGGGCGCGGGAGGCAGAGAGCGGGAGGCGGGAGGCTTGGGAAACTCAGCTGATGGATGCGCCTCTCTGGCCGGGTCGAGAGGCACTGGCATTGCTCCTTTGCCTTTGAAAATGCAACAAAATGGTACTGTTTATTTTCCTTGGGAAGGCAGGGGTATGGGGGCGGGGAGTGACTTTCCCCTCTCACTTGTCAACATCCCCCTCAAACTCTCCAATGCAAATGAGTCCTTTATGCCCCTGGTATGTTAATGAGGCAGTATCTGTGTGGACGTGCGCCTTGAACTTCTGGGCACCTCCTCTCCTTCCGACCCGGGCTGGAGACGGAGCGAGTCGGGAAGGAGAGCTTTGTTTAGGTGGATTTTCAGCTCGAAAAAGGTCTGACTTGCCTGCGTGTGTTCAAAAGCGAGTCTGTGCGTCGCTCATTTGCAGAAGGGGCTGCAATTACCGAATGTACCGTGGGGGTGATTTGCAGGGCTGGGGAACAGCTTGTGAAGAGTTTCATTGAATGGAATCGAGTTCTCCGAGTAAGACTGAATTCTGAGTTCTCCTCAGCATTCGATTCAGGGCATAAAATGGAATTTCGCCCCTGGTGCCGATTGTTTCCTTTCTGCAGCCTAGCAGGAGCAGAGGAGCTGGTGAACATTCAGAAAAGAACTTTGCCACCTCTGGGCTCCCTGCCACAGGGCGGGTTGGGCTGGGAGGGGCGGAGGGGGGAGGAGGATTTGGGAGAGGGATCCTGAGTGCCCACTTAGCCAAATGCATCAAGAGTCACCTGTGGAATGGAGTTCAAAGGGGACGAGTAAATGGACGGCTGCCCACTGTTTCAGCACACTAGTGCTGCTGGTGCTCCTTTGCCATCGGCTGCAGCGTTTATGCAGCCAGCACAGCTCTGAGAGGGACGGGACTCTCAGAAAAACCCACAACAGAGCAGGTCCATCTGTTGATTAAATGAAGGGTAAAAGTTTTTGAGAACACAGAGCACCGCCATCGGTGGCTGGCTTTGCAAGCAAACAGCGTGTCTCCCTCTCTCCCCCTGTCAGGGAGAAGCCAGCCTAAGCAGAATCCCAGCCTCCTCCCTCACCTCTTCCGCTGGTACTGTGGTCCCTGCAGCTTTCTCCTCCTCCAGTGTTGCTTATGGCCACCCTGACGAAACCTGGGGGGCGCTTCCCCCATGTGACTGTGTTGTACCCCTGCCTGTGTAGCATTACAAGATGCACACACATGCTCGTGTATTCGCCAGGCTGTGTAAACCTCACCAGGGCTCCCTACAGCAGCGGGAAGATAAATTGCCTTCTCCAGAGTTTTCAGGCTGAATGAATAAGAGGTATCTCAGAACACTGGTATAAACCATTTGTGAGACTACACTCTGTCTCGGATGTGTGCACGCTTGCTTATGGGCACACATCTGCACACATGGGCACACTGTACACACACACTCGCTCTCATTCTCCTGTGCCTCTTCCCAGTTCACTCAGGAAGTTGCCTGTGGGATCCCTGAAGGGAGGATCCAACCCCACCCCCCTGCACACAGTTCATGGGACCAGGACCCGTTTTAATCAGTGGTTTGTGTTCGTCGGCGGCGCATCAACACAATTATTCTCTAGATTGGCATGAGAAGTCCGTAGGTGTCTAAGTGCCTCTCCGGCTGTCTGCCGTCTGATTCATCGGAGTGCATCTTCTGCTTTGCTTATCCTTGCTCAGCACACAGCTATTTCTTGACGGCCTCATCTGAATCTTTAAATATTTACCTATGGAGGTTAAATGTCTGCTTCATCTACTCTTAGCCCTAAGAGCACTGGGAAGGAACCACAGGGTCATGGTCATGCAATTCATAGTTCCTTGTTGCTCCTGAGTACTCGGAGCTTGGCCAGCACTGCCACCCTACCAGATGGTAGACACTCAGGACTCCACCACAGGTGTAAAGAAGGATGGTGAGACCCAAGTGGACCCAGCCAGGCAGAATACCCCACCGCACTGGACACTGTAGGTCCCAGGTCTCTCGCATAGACAGCGGCTGACTACAGCCGGGTGTTTTATGGACTTCATTGCGATAGAAAACCTTTTGACTTGCTCTGCGGGCGCTTAGTTTAATGTGGATGTTGTTTGCAATATTGTGAATCCCCCCGAGGAACCTATTTGACCCTCTCCACATTTATGCTTAGCTCATATGCTGTGCTCCACCCCTACCCGGTGCCACGTAGTTACCATTACGAGATGCGATGTTTCTACTTTCAACGGGTCATCCGAGGACTAGCCCACAGGCTCTAGATGGCTCTGGCCGTCATCCCTCCGACTGAGGCCGCTTCCTCATTCCCCACCCCGTCCCCCACAGAGCCACCCTTCTGACCCCCACCTTCTGCATGCTCTTTCTCCCGGGATGCTTTCCAAGGAAGCGCGCAGAGACTCAGGGGTGGGCCTCCACTCAGAGAAAACAAATGTCCAGGGTTCTATTTCGGGCCATACCTGGCACTCTGGCAATACATCCATCTGCCACCCGACGCCTCTCACAGTGGAAACCTGCATGTCACCTTGGAGCTTCTGGCAACCCGAGGCTCGAGCTTCCTGCCCTCGGGTGTCTGAGTTCCCGCACGGAGGGAGCGCTCCGAACAGTGCCCGGGTGACTTCAAAGGAGAACACGTAGGGAAACCCTCCTAGTCTACTTCACTCATCCTTTCTTTCCAAGTTTGTCAACCATGTATTTACCTTTCCTCTTTTCCCCATAACCCTTTGGAGAATGAAATTAAGGTATTAAGGTATAATTAATTTCATGGCATGCTGCACCCTTATTCTGTGAAAGCTTGGACTTTACTTGTAGATGGAGACTGAGTGTGTATTTATCATTCCTAAGGTGGCAGTAGAGAGATCCGGTGGCATTCCCCCATGTCGCCCTGGCCAAGGTGCCTGGGCCCGGCTCCTCACGAGGAGATGGGCTGCTGCCCAGAGCTGCCGGCGGGTTTCCTCTTGCTGGGGAGGCCTCCTCCCTCTGCTGTCAGGACCACGTGCTCTGGACAGAGAGGGATAATGTCACAGCACAATTTGCCTCCTGCTGAGGAGAGGCATGCTCTGCCCTGCGATGAAAGGCGTGGATTCTCTGGTCAGCCATAAACTTAGAACTCGCTCTGTTTTTTCCCTTTACCATTTCAGTTTGCCCACAACTCTCTCTGCTGGTGCCCTCCTTCATCTTCAAGACCCAGCCCCTCCAGCCTGCCCTTCCACGACTCCCTCTGCCCACTGATCTCAAGTTTGGGGAGTCTGGGCAGAGGCACCAGCACCACGCCTCTTATTCAGGGTGCTCCAGGAAAGGCGCCGTCCGCCCCACTCTCTGGCGGTTTGCTCTAGTGTGTCCAGTGTTCCGCGCTGCCTAGGGACGGGACACTGGGCACTGGGTCTGTGGGTCTGAAGCTCTAATTCTCGTGAGCCCCGATCTCTTGTCGGCTTTACCCGTGGACCACGCTGCTTTGGCATGTTGGGGTGAAACGGAGAGGTTGCAGTAAGTGTCAGTGACGTCCCTGAGTTGGCGATTCGTCTGGGGTGTCTAAGAAATTTGCCCTCCTGACTTGCTTGCAGGAATCACCCAAAGGGGCTGTGGGATGTCCACGTGAGGGAGGAAAGTTCATGGTGACATGAATCTCTCAGGGAAGAGAAGAGCATGAAGCAGACAGGAGGCTAGAATAGAATGTGAGTGGAAGGAGTTGGCCAGGGCGAGATGCGAGCCAAAGGAAGGATTGGAAGCATGGGAAGGAAGGAGCAATACAAGAGGCTCAACTTGCAGAAACTTCCTGGGCGGAGGAGGAGAAGGGAGATGAAAAGATAGCATGAGCACTTCAAAGGCAGCCAACAGAACAGAGGGGTCCCAGGGGGTGCATGCTGGGAAGGCGTTAGAAAGGGACATTGGGAGTGAGCAACAACTTTGGAAACACTGATCCTCACCCAGAAATGTCATATAACAAAAGAAGAGGCAAGTAATAAGTGTGATGCTCTCCCCGCCGCACCCCACACTCCAAGTGGTATGACATCTTGTCTAAAGGAGAAAGAATCGCTGCTTTTGTGCTGGAAGGTCAATGCCCGGCTGCCCAGGGTGTGGGACCACTTCTTTCACAGATTTGCCGGGTGAGGGAAACTGGGACATGTCTGCTGGGCACGGAGGTGGCCACAGTGTCTGCTGCCCAGCAGGGAATTCTCAGTTGCCAGCCAGACCCATTGCAAAGGGAAGAGAAACTCCCCAGGGGTCGAGGGCGTGGGGTGGGGCTAACACCTTCACACTGCACTTGGAGGACTGTGCAGGGCCTCCCTCCCGGGTTACAAAGGCGGGTCTGGCTGGGAACGTGGCAACAGAGAGCTCGGCACAGGACCAAGGAGCAGCTCAGCCTGGCGTGCCTGTGCCGGGGGTGGAGCCAGGGCCAGCGGGAGCTGAGGTGGAGCACAGGGATGGGGCCCGAAGATGCAATTTTTCTCTTTTGTTTGGCCCAGTGGGGGTGACTTAGGAAGCTTTATATTGCAGACCCAAAAAAGCCCATGAATAATCCAGAGTGAATTCAAGAGATTTCTATAGCAAAATAATAACAATACTAATGATACCTTTGATTTACAGAGTACTTTTCTTCCAAGGAGATAAAAAGATAAACTGTTTTGGAAACATGACCAAGGAAAAGAAAATTGCTTGTGATGGAGGAGTGGGGTGGAGGGCCAAGAGCATTCACTGTAGCATCCTGATGTAAGTGGGGTGTGGAGAAGGGGTCCGATGGTCCTCAGACACCATTTTTTAGCTAGTTTTTATCCTTGTAAGATGTTGAGAGGACTTTTGGAGGAAGAACCAGTGCAGGCATTTTAATCAGGGTCCACCCCAAAACTGTGAGGCACTGGATTCCCCTGCATGTGCCTGGGCCCAGGGACACCCTAATTCAGGAGTGTGGAGGGTCAGTGAGATCGCAGAGCTTGAGCTTAATCACACTCGGGC